TTGATGCTGGATGCAGTCCCTGGGGGATGCAGCCTCCAGGAGCTCATCTGCTAAACCCCAGCACACTTCGGACCCACTCTCCTTCTACAGATCCCAGTCCTGCAGCCTGCTTACTGTTAACTGAATGGATTTACAAGCCTTCTACAAATTCTCTCTGCTTGTCCCATTCTACGTTCCCTAACCTTTGCCTGCTTGTTGTTCACAGGGCTTGAGCTCTTCAAGCCAGATATTACATTTTTCAGAAAGATCTTGTCTTAGGTGCTACCCAAGTGCAACACATAAGTACTACCCTGAGTGCTGCACACTGGGGCTCTGATCAAGATCATGGTGCCCTGTGGATGCAGAGCTCTTACTCAGAAACAAGACACTTTTGTATGACATCAGCTACCTGATGCAATGAACCGTGTGTCCTGAGATACATGAGACTGGACTTGATGACCTTTCATTTAAACTATGGGATACAAGACCAAAGAAATTACATGAAAACATGCTTTGATACGTTCATCTGTTTTATTAGTTTAGTAAAAATAAGTGTTTGTTACATATCCTGTTTTTAAACATAGGTACACACAAAATAGCTTTTCATTCAAAGATATATAATTAATAGAAATCAAAGATTTCTTTTCATGATCTATTCGTGGAAAACAACAGAATTCCTAGAGACATTAAAAATTCATTGAATTCAGCACTGTCTGCAGTGATACAGATTGAAGGCATGAAACTATCATACACTTTGCAATGAAAAATTTGCCAAGTCACTGTCTTATTGGCTGACCTCTAGCTTTACAGTTGATTTTTAGAAAATTATTTTTATCATGCAGCAGTTGTATCAGACTTAATAGGAATGAGCATGCCAGTGGGTTTACTTCTATCCCACAACAAGATCCATCCTCAAGGTGACTAAGCTCACCTCTTTTAGTTTTGTCAATCACTCAATTGTGAAAAATGACACTGCAGAAGATCAAGCTCTCACTAAGTTTTATTCCTGGGGTTTTTTTTTGTTTTTTTTTGTTGTTTTTTTTCTCTAGAGAGCCCACCTATTACTTACTGGCCAATTTTAGAATAGTGTGATTTGTTTGGGCTAACCCCTGCAGTCTTCACTCAAGGAAAATTCTCATAGGCCTCATTGAGTGTGTATGCCATATAATACCTGCAAAGACAGGGCCTGGATTACAAGGAAGTGCAAAGTTGCTGGGATAATTTGATTTTCCTTTTGTTCCATACCAGCCTTTCCTTAATTTGTAAATCTACTTTAAACTGCATGGAGAATCTTGGCATTTTTGCATGGACACATATGTTTTGAAAAGAAACATTTTTACAGTAAGAGAAAGATCACAGGTAATCAGAGGGAGGCTCTTGTTGGGATCACAGTGCAACTGTAAATTGTTAGAAAGACCATACGCTTGCCATGGCAACATCACAATATTTTCTTCTACTGATTCTCAATCTTTTGTCTTCCAAAGGATCAAGCAATAAAGAGACAGAATTTGGCAACCGCATCTGAAAAAAGGAACCAGTTTGGCTCTAGTAAGAGATCTGCTAAAAGTCAAAGACCAAACAAGGTTTGAAGTGAGGGATAGAAGATGAATGGTATGATTACCAAGGTCACTAAATGTCAAGGACAGAGGTGCACTGGGCAGCTGGGCAGCATATGTAGAGGCTGGGGGGAAAGGAAATAGGTGTTGGGCAACCTGCTGAAGGGAGGATAGATGTCCATGTCAGCCACACTGCAGTTACCACAGGGATGCTGCCAATTACAAATGGGTCAGAATTAGGGAGGGAGGTATGCAGGTGATATGAAAGATTTGTTGGCCTTTGTCAGACCCTACCTATCTTTCATTATACCATCTACTGCCCAATGTACTGCAGTTGTGCTGCTCCTGAGACCTCTTGTCTGAACAACCTTCTTGTTCAGGATCAGGGCAGTACCTGCTCTGCTGCTTTGTGGGGGAACCAATAAATCCCTTGACAGAGAAGCACAGATGCAGTAAGCCAGTTCTCAAGTTTTTTGTGTTAAAAAATAATACTGGTTATTCAACAGCATTGCTATTTTTTATGCTTCACTGTTCAGAGAGAGAGGCAGTCCTCTGAGAGGCTTACAGTCTACATTTAGAAGATGAGTCACAGGCAGAGAAAGAGACTCACTGGAAGAGAAAGAATTATACAAAGGTTAAGTGAGGGGTTTTGGATCTCTTGCTTAGGGTCATCACACATCCCTGGGCAACAGGCATACCCACCTTTTCAGGGTTAATCCCAGTCTTCTCATATTCTTTGCAGGTCTGTTCCCACCTCCAATAAGCTGCTGCGAGGCCCAAAGGAAGACCAAGTCAGCTGAGCTGATAGAACAGAAAGGCATTTTGGATGTACTCACAGATCAACATGCACACACATGTATATGAGGACACTTTGCCAAGGCCCTAGATATCCATGTTTCCACAGCATCTTTTATCAGTTCAGGCATGTAGTCAGATCCAGATGACTGCAGATGCAATCTGGGCCAGGGTGGTGACGCAAGCTTAAGTCAACCCACAACTCAGTTACATTGCTCCATCACATGGCAGGTGGCCAAACTGTATGACAGATCACTAGAGAGACAAAAGAGAAAGTATTTAGGAAAGCTCAAGGAGTAAAGACATCCATGATTAAAAAGAGACAGTAAATAAAAATGAACAAAATGTAGAACTACAGAGAGAAAGACATCAAAAGGAGACATAAAGAATGCAAAAATATAGCAGAAAGAGCCAAAATGCAACAAATAGGGGATAAAGGAGCATCCAATAAGAAGAGACATTCAGTTTTTATTATCAAGTTTTTCTGTGACTTTGCTGCCACAGGTACCTCACAAGCATTCATACATTTTGGTGAGACTATATTACCATGTCTCACACCCCTGCTCTGCTCTCCCAGCACCTCAGAAAGACATCTCTTGCTACAAGCCCACAGATGAGCACCAAAGTGAGTCACTCACTGTACATACAGCAAAGTATGTGGCCAGGGAGTCTCAGCACTTGGGAGGCCTCAGCACTGGGATCCACTTCTCACCAGAGCCTGGCTAGCCCAGCTGGCATTGCCACCTACCCTGCAGCAACCCTGAGAGGAAGATGGGGACTGCTGGTTGTCTGTGATGTGTCACTTTTCTCCTGCCACTGAGGTGTAGTCATTTGTCTCATTAAATAGCATTCCTGTATCCAGCACTAATTTTGTCTCTTTACAAATATGTTTTTCATTCTAGCCAGTCAAGTGCAGCTCTCCCTCCTGTACAGTCATTCTGCTCTCGTGCTTCTCTTACCATTACTCACTCTTACTGCAGTGAGGCCAGATTCAATAAAGGCCCTGGCTGTTGCAGTGCTCAGCACTGCAGTGTGTCTTTGCCTGAACCCACAGCCCCAAATTAAAGACACTGCTGTACACTGAAGGCAGAAAGCAGAGTACCTAAGAATGGGATCTACATGGTCTCCAGCCTGTTAAGTGAAGATCTCTACAGGAACCAGCTGGACATGTCAGTAAATCTCTCAAGACACTTCAAACAGCAGTAGATCCTAATGTTGGGGTGAGGCAAGACACCTTGTGTAGAATTCCCACTCCTAAGCCTTTTCTTGAGCACCTACTCCATGCCCTTGAAGGGGTCATGGTATCTCTCCAAACGTACATGCTATTTAGCACTCACCCAGGAACACATGAACTCAGTTTTTCCTCTGCTTGAAAGGGCTTGCACCAGCCAAGTGCCTCAACAGCATGTGCTTGGGGGAGGTGCTCTTGGTTGCAGCTGTGGCACAGCATAGGCTTTTCCATCAGCCACAATGATGGGAGGGAAAGTCAGGAGGACTGGAGCGGCTGAGGCAAACATTTTCAGCCCCATGCTTCATGCCTGGAAGAGTTCAAGGGCAGGCTGGATGAGGTTCTGAGCAACCTCGTCTAGTGGGAGGTGTCTCTGCCAAGGCAGCGAGGTGGGAACAAGATGGTCTTCATGGTCCTTTCCAACTCTAACCATTCCATAATTCTATGAGTCTATGATTCAGTTAAAGTAGTGTATTTGGGCAACTCTGGAAGCAGATTATTTATGTAACTCTCCTCGCTCCTGGCATGCTCCCAGCAAGCAGGGGTTTGGGGCTCTATTTTAAACTCAGGCCTGGAGAGCAGCAGCTAGCTGGCTCTTGCTCTCAGCCCCTCCGGTACTCCTGTGGGCCTAACACAAGGCACCTCAGCACTCATGAAGAAGGGGCACCCAAGTCACTCAAGCACTGAACAAACACAGAAGAGCTAATCATCCCTGCTCTGCAGAGCCTGCAGGTGCAAGCAAGCCAGGCAGCAGCAGGCTGAGGGAAAGGGATGGACCCGGTACCAGTAAGTGCTGTAACAAACAGGCAAGCAAGTACTAATTTTGATTTGTGTGTCTTTCATCCTGCAATTGCTCTTTTGACTATAGTTTCTATGGAGAAGGACAGGAGGAACTTGCAAACACAAGTCACCTTTGAAACACAAAGCCTTAGCTTTGAAACTGAGTCCTCCAAGCATTTTAGGTTACCACACTGTGTAACACTACACACTCCTCCTTGTTTCTTAAATAAACCTTGGGAGTCAGCAACCTGTCCTTCTGCTTCAGGGATTGAAGTCCCTAATTTATCAACAACAAATCACTCCAGGCAAGTGTAGCAATGGAAGCTAAACAAAACTTAAAGCAAGACAGGAGTTGGCATATTAACTAGTTGAGATTACAGACTGTAAATTAACATGACACACAGATACATGCTGATATTTATGAGAAGGTCCATTTGATTCCCCTTAAGAATAAGAAACAATGCAAATGATACTACAAACTTCTACTACATTGTACAAGAATTTTTCACTTTTACCTACTACGGATTAACAGATGAGTCTATTCTAAAATCTCAGCATTCCTCTTTTTATCACTATTCTGCATTTAGAGTTCTCAGAAGTGATTGCAACGGGGAGCTCTAGATCCTCTCATCATGCAAAACAAGGAAAGGCTTCAGTAGGACATGCACGTAAAGTAATTTGATTTTTTTTTTTAATTTTTTTCTTTTAATCACCAGCAACACTGGAAATGAAGTACTTCTTAAAAAAAACCAAACTAATAGCCGTGCATGCTGCAAACCCAAGTGCAGCATGTTTAGTGGAGAGAGAGAATATGGGCTGTAGCAACAGAAGATAAACCTTCTTCAGTCCTACAGTCCACCAAAATGTATTGATTTTGAGCTGAAAGTATCAGCTGTAAAAACAAAAAATGGTGTTCTCATTGTTTAATCCCTGAAGTCTCTGCTAGCTAGTTTTTTAAGTGGAGATAAGTGATACTGATACTTGTCCACATAAAATGAACAAAGTTCAGGAACACGTGTCCCTCACACCACTGCCAACACTCAGTGTTGCATGATTTACTTTAAGACCCAGATGATAGACTATATTGGTAATTAACTTTTGTATCCTCAGCTGTAACCTACTGCTCACCCACCATACTGTATTGCATACACTCAATCCTCTTTTACCGCATCCTTTTGTGGAGCATATTGAATGTGAGATTGTGCCTCCTTCCACTTCCCTCCAATTCATCTGTTGTGAAGATGTGAAGATCTGAAAGTCCTAGCACAAGCTATTTCATATCCAATGGGCAGGAATCATGTGACGTTTCCTCTCTTCCACATAAGTGCTTCACCTCTTCCATATCCCAAATGACTAGCTTTGCCATCGTATCCTGTTAAAAAAATCCAACTCCCTTGAATCTCTCCTCAAAGATCCACTTGCCAGACAGTTCTGGTGCTCCTGCCTAAGCTGGTACTTCTAAAAGACTTTGTCTTGGCCACTTGCAGTATTTCACAAACATGAATTTCACTTTCAAGAATGCCCATTAAGCACAATGTGCCACTCCTAGATTGCATGTGAGGAAATGTGAGGGCAGAGAGTTCAAATAGGACCCCATCAGGGACAGAAGATGAGAGAAAAAAAAAAATCTTTCCTATCTTTACCACCCAATTATGTTTCTGTATTTTTTTTCTTCCTATTCTCTGTAATGTTTTACAATTTCCATCTTTCAGGCTTCCTAAAGTGTTATACTGTTAAGAGTTTAAACCATTAAAACTGCCATTTTAAAAATGCCCTGGGAGATTTTGTCATTCCCAGGATTGTATATTGCTTCCCATTACAACAAGAAAACAGGTGAGCTCTGGCTTCTCCTACCTGATTCTTCCATGTGCTTGATGGCAGGAAAGCAAAACTCACTTCACCTTAACACTTCAAACCAAACTGTCATTCACCTGAATATAGCAGTAGGAATAATAGCAATTATTTGGGCTCTCTTTCCATAAAAACTCTTGAGACAGAAATGACCACCACTACTCTGAGACAAGTACAAATACTAGTTTTGAGTCTACTCACTTATTAAGCTACTCTGCCTTGATTAATTTTTGAGAGAAGTTTCTGTGTGTATGAATGCACCGCAGAAAAAATAAAGCTCAA